AACTAACCAACCCAAGGAACAATTTCTCAGGCACCCCTGAGGCAATGGCACATGTAGCCACATGCTGTGAGCAGCAGGAGAACCTGGATACCCAGAATGACTGGAGACACACTGTGCCAGCCCTGATGACCTGTGTCTTAGTGTCTTTGGAGAAGAATACAAGCAGGCTTTCACATCTCTCCTATAAAATCTCTTTACACAACGTGCACCTGCATCCCACACACATTATCCCACACCCACAACACCTGGATCATAGGGACAAGCATCACCTAAAGAGGTTCCCCACTGAATGCTTATTTTAAGAAGATGCCTAGTATTTGGGAAAACAGACAGGAAAAAGCTGTTGCACATGCAGTGCATGTTTCTATCCCACTTCAAATAGGTTTTAACACCAATAATGTATAACTTTTTAAAATACTATTTCTTTTTTCTTTTGATTCTGCTGCTGTGTTTCTTCTGCACTTCACTCCTGGATTTCTCAGCTTCTCTGAGCTGAGCTCCTTGGGGATACTCCCTCACAGGGACTCCCACTTATCTCAGTTCTCTGGGTCAGGACAAAAACTCCAAAGCCTGTTAGGATCTTGTTTCTCGTGTTTATTAGGATGTTATCACAAAACTTGGCAGGTCTCTCCAGGCTTTCTGCACAAGTTTAATTCACCACAACCTGGTTCATTTTGTTCTGATGATACAAAATGTTCCTGAACTACGCAGGTTTTTTATCTTTATACTTATTGTTATCCAATTAACTGTAGACACGTATGTTATTTTTCTTAATGATCCAATGACCTGTATGCTGAACTGCGACATTTTCTATCCAATCACTTACTATTAACTGAAAACCTCTAGAAGGAGAACATGAAGAAGAAAGAATAAGGAAGAGAAACTACATTCTAAATCCTCCATCTTGCCTTCTGCTTTCTAAACTATTTCAAACTGTAAACTAACTTTTTCACCCAGTGACTTAAGAAAACTCTCTAATCTACACACTTATACTTTTAGCTTTTCTATCTAACTTTAACAGTTGTTTACATGTAGCACCATGAAAACATGCTCATAAATTTCATGTTATATGAAATTTATATCCAGTGTTCTCCTGAATCTCAGAGCCAGGCATCAGAGACAAGGGCACACACTCTGTGTTTCAGACTCCAACAATAATGCATCCAGCATTTTTCACTTCAGGACAAGCTACAGCAGACACTGCTTTCACAGGTCACGCAAATTCCTATTTCCAAGAGCTTCATCATGCTTGTCCCTTGTCTCCTACAAAAATGACATCATGTATGACATTGCCTTCACAGAGCCATGACACTTGGATAATTTTTCTGAAGTTACGTAGGCACAGGTGTGATACCAAGGGCCTGGAGCTCTCCTTGGCACACATGGAAACGTAGTGGGACTGGGGCCTCAATGTTTGGCCACACAAGATACAGCTGGTGCAATTCTCTGTGGACATGGGTAACAGACTTGTACTGAAAGCACAAGGTCAGGTCATCATGAGGACTTTGGGGATCAAAGGAGGTTGGAGGTTGATGGTGACCCTGGAACTCACCTTGTCCAATTTCCCATGGGCCAGGACAAGACCATACCACTCAAAGTTTCACTCACCCTGAAGGTCTTGATACTCTCCAAAGAGGGAGATTCTGTCACTTCTTTTGGCAGGTTGCCCCAGAGAAGTTGTGAAACATCTCAGAGCTCCATAGCTCCCCTAATGCCTGCTGCCTCTTCACCTTCCCATGTGCCCTCCTGACACAACTTTCTTCACTGCACTCATGGAGGGTGAAGACAGATGCAGCCCCTGTTGCCTCAGATGAGGCTAGGCGACCTGGTTTGTGAGAAACATGACGGCTAACATACGATAGCCTGTCGGGCTAATCACACGCAAACACCAATGTGGTGGATGGTGAAGAGCGTTTATTTCCGGTATGCGCGGCTTTATATGACCGTGCTATGCTTACGTCACCGCCGCGTTATTATGGGTTAGCGAACTTTGGAGAAAAAGGGGCCCTACCTTCTCGTACATCGCGAGATCTTCCGATGGTTTTTTCCCTATCTAACCACATCAAGCCCCCCAGTCAAGCTACTCCCAGTCCCCAGCCTTGCCCTACTTCTGCTGAACTCCAGGCCAAAACACACCAACTCTCTCACTTTGTCTCCACTGGAAAGGTGCTCCAGCCCTCTTATCATCTTTGTGGCCCTAAGGTTATTTTGGCCCATAACCTGCTTCTGATGCCTTCCTTCATTCCTGAGAACCATGAAGGCAGCCAGTGGCTAGGTCTAGTAAATTATTCATTTGTGTCAACACACTCCCAGCCACCATCTTCCCAGGGCAAGTCAGGAGCATTTCAGTATGTCCTTTTTGCAGCAAATTAAGCCTGCTTAGTCCTAGGACTGTGATCTAGGCATGACTGCATGCACACATCTTTCAGTCATCTTGGGCACATTCATTTCCTCCTTTGCTTTTGGAAAACATTACATTCCTAATATGTCTGGAAAATTTGTGCATCTGTTTTCTATGCTGTTCCTCAGAATTAAAAAGAAAAAGCTTAAGTACTTGACTGTAGTGATCTAAAAGATCTAAAAGAAGACAAATCTAACAATCCCCTGCATGACTATAGACTTTCTAAATGCAAGTATTACATAAATTAACAATGTCTTCAGTCCTAACTCTTTGTCATGCACAACAAACCAATAGACCAGACTTATTTACCGGTACCGGAAGAACAAGAGAGTCTCAGTTTCAGCATTTTTTGGACAGCAAATAGCAGCAAGTCACACTGATGATAAATGTATTGTACTGTACCTTAGTGCACATTTTAATGTACAGAAGTGACCTTGGTTGTGTAATTTTGTCAGTCCTGTTTAAGAGATAGACTTGAGTTTAAGAGATAACCATATGTGTCATGGATTTCAAGGTCCCCAATACAACTGAAAAGAAAAATGGCTATGTTCACATACCTGAAAATGCCCCTACACACACACACACATACACAAATCCTACTCTCTTCTTCCACCTGAAAACTCATTGACTGTAAAGTAGAACCTTAGACTTGGGAAATAAGCAGCACTCTGCTAGTTAAAGTTCATGGATATAAATATTTTCCATCCAAAGTGGTCTCACAATATAATTTTATGACTGTAGCTCACAATTGCCCAGAGATGGCTCACCATTATTCACCAGAGATGAAGGCAGCAAATAGTCTTAAGAGACAGTTCTCTGGCAAGGGAAGGCAAGGCAACTGCTGCCATATCTGTGCTTTCCCTGTCAGGTTTGTATTCCATAAAGAGGTGAGGCTCTCCAGATTTCTTATGGCACAGTGGTGATATGTCTTTATACATCCAATCAAAATGATTGCTTATGTATCAGAGTGTGTCTGGGTGTCTGGGTAACAGAGGTGCAAGGAAAAGGGTACTGAAATGTCAGCTCTTTTGCAAGCAATAGAGTGCTAGAGGAACTCCTGCTCATGTTAGAAGGAGTAATTATTAAAAATCAGGATCTCACACACAGAAATGTCACCTTTCCTGTAATTAAACAGGACCAGCTACTGACATATTGAATAACGACTCTAAAATATTTAAATGCATTAATACAGATGGGCATACACCTGTGAGAGACTGAACACTGATGGAACTAGGAACAGTATATCTTTTCTATATTTTTTCTTTGTCTCTTTCTTCTAATTCCCTCTTCTTGGAGTTTTGAATAATTTAAAATTAGGTGGGTTTGGAGTTTGATAAGTTGAATAGACAAGGTTAACACTTTGTGAGACATTTTATGTTGATAGAATGCTGCTCTAAACATTTTGCCATAGTTCTCTGATTTTCTATAGTTGCCAGTGAAGATTTGTTTTTTCTTTTTGGCCTCTTGACAATATCTGGTTGGTATTTCTCCCATGCATCTATCTCAGAGTACATAAAAAAGTGTAAGCCCTTTCGAGAGGCTCATGGAGCAAGAACTGTTTAACATACTCAGTCTGTTGAGGTCTGTGGACAACCAACATGCTATGATCATATAGTCACACTGATAGGATAACAATGTGTGAAACTGCCAGAATGTCTGATATCAAAGGGAAAGTCATATTAATGTAGCTAGCTAGCCTTAACTTATGGGAACATTAGAAAGGTGACAAGGTGAGAAACTGACAGATGTAGAAAGTAAAAAGAGCAATGGGTTCCTTAGAGAATCTCTGAGTAAAATGACTAATTGCCAAGTCATTACCAAGGCAATGAAATTCAAAAAATACACAAAGGCAGGGTGTACATGGGGATGCTTATTTTTGTTTTTAAGTTTTGTTGTTGAGAGGATATAAGAGTGATAAAGGGGAAGAACTTGAGAGAGGAACAAGGATATCATGTGAAGCAAAAACTGTAATGAGGATTGCATGAACCCTGTGCCTGATCAGCACAATTTCGCCATGACATCAAACCCACTATTTATGCAGTGTTTGTGTCTGGGTTACTTCCATGGGAGGGATTGTTTATGTTTTTCCTTGATGTAGATGAAGGAATATTAGCCATACCCTTCTCAATATTGCCAAGGGAATACCTGAAGGGTGTCACTTAACAACATCATTTCTTCCTAACTCCTTAGTATAGTCAAGTGTTTGTTTCATGCATGGGAAATTCTGCCCAGTACAGCTGAGAAAAATACTTTGTAGATAATCAAAGAAAATGTATGCATGCAAACCCAGGGTACTTCCATATGAATACTTATGACCACCCATCATCATACCAAAATAAAGCTTGAAATTACTCAAGTCATGATGAAATCATGCTTACTAGCAAACAAAAATGGATAAACACTATCATGACTAACAAAGTCATAATGTAAAATAATGAAGCAAATAAAAAGCCAGAAAACTTTTTAATGCCTAATTATCCTTTAGTCTGACTTCTATGTCACAATCTTCCGTAAATATTATAAAAAAAAAATTTAAAGCTATAAATTAAAATGTTCCTATTTTATTTTATGACAACTTTCAAAATGAGATATTTTTCCCTTGACTGTTTTCTTCTCTCAAATTAAATCAATCACTGATCTTGAAGTCTAGCATTTCTTTCTTCTATTGTCAAACAAACATTTTGATCCAATCAATCATATCCCTTCTAGCTTCTTCAATATAAGGTTTATCATCAGGTTTCATATCTTCTGGCTTCAGTTGTGCAAACCCATGAACTTGTCCAGGATAAACTTTGATTTTATATGGAGCTTTACAATACTGTTTCAGCTTGTCCTCCAATAAGAAGATCTATTGAAAAAAAAAAACAAAACAATTTTTCCATTACATTATGAGGTTTTTTCAGTTTTCCAAATTTGCTGTTTCTCCCAGAGAAAATACCTCTTTGGGTGTAAGACTGAAACTTTTTTTTAAAGTATGGGTGAGTCTAAGAACTCCAACAGTTGCAGCAAAGATGGTTTGGTAAATCTCATTGCTATAAAGGAATAGGTGTGTTTCTGCTCAGACTCTCAGGCTTGTAACCTACACTTGAAGCTCTGATCTTGAAAGAACATATTCCATAAATCTTAATGACCATCAGTCCAAAATATTTTGATAGGCTTAGTAACAGATTTCAAGAAAACATGGAGGGCTTTTTTCTTTCAGTTTAGTGAACAATAAAAAGACATTGCTCTTGCACAGTGTTTTGGTGATTGGTATACATACAAAGTAATATGTATGGTTTATGTGCCCATATACATCTGCCGGCACAGTTTGTGCTTATTTCCGTTAGAAGTCAGAAAATAGAAGAATGAACTCTTATTTTGCCCCACAACCTTACTTCTACCCAGTTGTGCAGATTAGAGTATTGTAATTTATTTCATGGATTTTTTTGGTTTTTTAGTTTGTTGTTTTTTATATGGAGCCCTTTATTTCAGTAAACTATGTATTTGAGGATTGGATTTTTTTTTTTTAATGCAGGAATTTTTACTTATACAATCTGCACAGAAAGAAAGCTTCAGGAGAAAAGGTGTGGTTTCAATGTGTAACACAACAGAAAAAATGCATTTACCAAAACTGTGCCCCTGGGAGAAAGACTCGCCATAAAATAAGGACAGGGAGTGAAGGATTTGTTTTCCTCTGCAAATGAGACACTTATGTGGTATAGATTAACATGCAGTTAGAAGTAAATATTGAATGACTTCTGCATTCCCAGGGCACACTGTCAGTTCTCCAGTCAGACCCTACCCTAAAAAAACAAACTGTGCTAGAGGTGGTACGTTATCTTTGTCACTGAAGAAAAAGAATTTATGCACAGAAGAGGGCACCAGTTTCCTACCCATATATTTGTCCAGCCTCTCATATATGCTTCCAGTAGGGGTTATATCAGAACACAGATGGCAAAACATTTGAGTCTGCAAATTGTTGTCTCAGTGAAAATTCATGCCCACTCTTTTGACACAGTTAATTTTGTTTTCTTGTAGCAAAAGCAGTTAGTCATTGGTCCCCATTACTAGAAAGTTCAGTTACTAAACTGAAACTACTCTTTTTCTCCATTCAGTGTCCAAATTCAGTGGTTTAGCTACCTGATTTCTCACCCATAGCAGTAATATGCAAGTTTTTGAGATGCTTGGCTTCTACCAAGTTGGTTATCCCTGCCCATTTCACATGCCGCTTATCTAGCCACTCAGAGACTTTACTCAGAGACAGTTCTTTACTGTATTTCTTACCTCATAAAAGAAGCTTTGAATAACCTAAATAAGATAGGAGGGAAGTTGAAATAGAAACAGAACCATTCAACCTGTCTAATTTTTTGTATATGAAAATGGTTTCTAACAAGGATGTGTAGGATAAATGAACTATGGAAAAAGAAATCTTTCCAGAACAACAACTTACCTGGTCCAAAGAAATAGTGTGGTCTTTCTCACCAAAAATGAAAAATGTGGGATTTAGTAAACTGTATCTTTCTTCAGAGTCTCTAACTATTCCTATAATGTTTTGAGAAACATTGAGTTGATTAGTGAGGTTAACATTCCTATGAGATAAATTACGAATTAAAAGAGAACATTTCTAATTAAGTTTACTTATTAGGTACATTACTTAGATCAGGAGAGTGGGTAATTGGATGGAGAATAAGCATTTGGAAAGCATATTTCCCTGCTCTCCTAAAACAAGGAATGATTTTTTTTTTTGTTTACAGTATCCTTAATATTTTTATATCAATATAGCCTATTGATGAAATAACTATAATTAAAATCTGAAACTCACCTTTGAGTTGAGTATTTATAGAAATTGTTGCAAATGATAAGTACTATTACAAACTATGCATAGTCATGTGAACCCATATAAGTTTTCACGTGTGTTCTACACTACCATAGAGGGACACCCCAGCGGTTAATTGAGGATTTTTCAGCATCAAGTGATGTACTGCCATTCCACCCCAGGAAAACCCAACGATACCAATCTTCTTTGCACCGCATTGCTCCTTTAGATACTTCAAGACAACATCAGCTTCCCTAAGATATATAAAGAAAAGTAAACTAAGGAATCTATTGCAGAACCAATACTTGACAATTCAATGGTATACATACATGGTATTTTTTTCTGTGTCTGCACCTTCAATAATTTAAAACAGAGATTACTTTAAAAATCACATTTCAGGCTAGAGCAGTGGCTTCTACTATTAAATGAGAGTTAATATCTCTGGTCCTAGTTTAGGGAAGTACATGTGTAGGCACTTAAATACTTACCTGAATTGTCACCTGCTCCTTTGTTTTCAAAATTAGTAAATTTTTATTTGAATCACTTTGTCTAGGACAGGACAACTAAAGACAAGACATATCTGCAAGTAGAACAACATCTTGCATTATGGACTGTAGGAATAGATAAGCTTCACTGTATTATCTCTACAGAGTTCACTTATTTAGATAAAGGTTTTTCCTATGTCATTCCTGTTACATGAGTTAATACTAAAATATCTTACAGAGCCCACATGCAAGAATGTTAAGCTAAAGTAGCAGTTACTCAAATTACATTGTCAATAACTATGTTTAAATGTTTAAAAAAATAACTTTGGCATGAGATGCAATGAAAAAAACCATGAAAAATATTTTTACTGTAGGTGTGAACAAGTAAATTTTTTTTAGACTGCTGACTTCTGAGGCCTCAAATTTATCTTCTTCATTACCTACAGTTTTAAATTAAGTTTAAATGCAGCGTTCATAAACTATTAACTAGATTTTCAAACATTCAGTAGAGTTGTATGGTCATTCAGGTGTGGTTAGGCTGATCAAGAAAAACCCAGTATGAGAGTGACATGAGAGGACATTGTGTCCTAGGCCTGTGTCCGCGCTCTTTCAGATTTGGTTTGTTTGAAAGTCATGTGTATGTTTGGTTTCATGTTCTCTGAAACAGCAGTAGATCTGAACTGGAATGTTCACCTACAAATGATACCTCAGAAGAGAGCAAAGTCATGTCCTGAGATCTTGATTTTTTAAGACTGCTCACATATCTGCTCCTTTGTGGAGTAGGATTATTTATAATTGTTAGTCATTTGTCTTTTCAAAAAAATTGGCCACAGGCTCTGGAATTATAGGTCAAAAAGTGTGCTGAGAGACACTGAAGATAGATTGTGGCTGTTGAATTTGTGGACAGAGTCAGAAGAATATTTGTGGCTTGCAGGATGGTAACTGAATAATAGGGTGTCATTGCTTCATTATCATCTGAATTATCATCATCATTTTGAGCTGTGGTGAGAGATGCTGAAGAAATAGCAATGCCTCCCATAATTCAGGGAAGCCCTGTTACATGCATTATTAGGTTATACAGATAATGATCCCTCTATTTCACACTCAAAAAAATAGTGCAGTTGATCGGATGTATCTTAGGTTTTGGTCAGTCTAGCAAATTTTTATGTTGTAATGCTCTGAACAATTTCATCAGTACCTATCATAATCTGCAAGGCAGAAAGCAGGATGGGCATGTGACAATTGGCAGATAACATTTGCAGTTGTAGAAGAATTTTCCACTGTATCTTGAGGAACGGGGCACAGAATCAGCACTTGTGGGTGAGAGTGTTTCATAGCCTATGAAACACCGTGAGCCTGTGTGGCCAGTATAACATAGTCAGAAAAGGGCTCAGGAAAACAAGATAGGGACAATAAGCAGAGTGATGGACAGAGGAGATGATCCTTTTCAAATCCCATCCGAGACAGTGCCCAGGACCACAGAAGAATCACCCAGAATAAGAAACTGTGGTTGTGCAACCAGCTTGACCTGCTGTGAGGTGCCACTTCTAACATTTCATATAGATTCTCCTTGTTTGCTAGATGCTTTTTAAAGTTCAAGTACAAATACATATCTTACTTGTCTGCTTTCATAGGATCATGATTTTTCATCCAGTCAGGAAAGTCAACCCAATGATCAGTAGATTTCCAGGGTTCTGTCCCCTTGAAGAAGTCCGGGCAGATAGCTCTGTGTGAGATATGGAATTCAGTCAATTTTCATTGAATCTGTGGATGTCTAAATGCCTCCAAATATCTTCTAGTCCAGAGTACACATCTACATGATCATGTTTTACTCATCCTATTCTGGAAATCAACTAGTTAAAAGTTTGTCTTTGTATGGAAAACAAACAAACAAACAAACAAACAAAACCCTACAAATAAATGTCCATTGTTTCCTTAGACACAATACAAAAATAATGGGATTAAACAAACCTCCTGATTCTATATAAACACATATATACCTCTTTAGCTTGTAACAGTAAAGAAAATGTTCAAAAAAGTTTGGTTCTGCAAAGCTTATTCAACTTAAAATAGATACCACTGCTTCTCTTTAGATCACCCACACTGCTTCATAAACACAAACACAGGCACTTCAAAACTCCTTGTGCCTTTGTGCTCAGGTCAGGCCCATTTTTCCTGGGTCAGTTTTAGTAGCTTTGGTGGCTCCATGGATATAATGTGTCCATTTTCTCTTTTATTTGCTCAGACTGAAATGGTATGGTTGTCTTATGTGTATTGAAAACATTATATGCCATGCCTAGCTTTGAGCCTGGTGATCTATCAATGCATTTAAGGGGAAGATAGGAAAGAAAGTTGCTTACATATATCCATGAGCTGCCATCAAATCGACTATGTATCTAATATCTGGGAACCGCCATCCAAATACATCATGGACCACAATCACAGCTTTGTCCGTGGAAAAAGATGGTCTACAAACATATGCCTTAAGGTATTCAATTTGTACTTCATGTCCAAGGCACCCATAGTGAGACCTTTCTCCAGTATTATATAGAAAAGGATCAGCCATTTGAAAACCTAATAAAAAATAAAATAAAAAGAGAAGAAGTAATAGATAGCAAGAATGTAAAAATAATTTGTTAACAAAAATTATTTAGGGCAAAAAGGCAAATATGGTCTTCCAAAAGTAGTTGAAAAACTTCTGTAAATAACATTGACATCCTTGTATGGAAAGAGAAAGTAGAAAAAAGCAAAAGCAATGGTCCAGTGCAGAATCCCTCTTTGTCTATAATGTCATTAAGCTGAGAATAAAGAGAAATACCAAAATCAAATTATAAACAACCTGCATATGTAGGTCTTGACACTCATGTCACATTTGTTTTGCTGCCATGTGGTTCTGTCAGCAGTGGTGAGAAGCACTACGGCGCTTCTGATGTCACTCTCTTCTGAGGCATGGAGCCATAACGCATGTCTTCATGGGGAATCCTGTGTTGGTTTCTCTGAACAATTTGCAAGGAACACAGCACTCAATTGCTGCATTGAAGTGTAGTGTTCAGTGCTTCTCTCAGTGCTAGTGCTTGGTAGCCCATTTGTGCTTTCTGTAGCAGAATCGCAGCTCTTCTGAGAGCAGAAGTACTGGGCACATTTAATGAAGAACTGCAATATAGATTTATAAACTAGATTCCAATGTCATGTGCCTCTATGCCCTTGAAAGGGATTGCAAGAAAATGAGATTATGTGCAAGCCTCATTCTGAATATTTGAGGGCATATGGTTCTCCAAAGGTAGTAATTAGAGACAATGAGCCAGTAGATGTGCTAGACAGATTAATGTCAAAAGTTTTTCTGACTCTCTCTGTCAGGAGCTTGGAATGGACTCTGTGCAAAAAGTAGATTATGATCCTGTAATTAAAAGTGGTGTTACAATGCATCTCTACAAGGAATCCAATTAAGTCTGAAGAGACAGTGATAATAGTAGCATTTCCTAGTCATGTACTGACTTTGAAACTGTCCTTCGACATGCAGTACACAGGCACATACACTATGACTGTCTTCACTTCATCATTTCTACATCAAACTATTTTTTTAGTTTGCATTGTAACATGTACTTCATAAAGTTATCTAATCTTCGTGGAAGAGCAAGAAATTCTCATAAAAATACATGCCATCCTCAGCCCTCCATTAACTAGAGCAGCAGAGGGCTACATTTCACAGAGTAATGGGAAGTGTTGCCAAGGCAATATGGACACATTTGGAACCATGGTACAGACAGACTAAAGAATAGAGAGTTGATGCCACAAAGACTCACTGCTTGCTTATGCCCTACACAACACTTCCCAATTTGCATGATTCACTCTGGCTCAAGAAAATAATCAATATTTTATATGCATTTAGACTGCTTTATACCCAAGACAATCGACCTCCACAGTGCAGAGACACTGTTCTTTTCCATCCTCTCCCAACCCTGGGGCTGCTGTCACCCAGATCTGGCAGGGCCAGTACTCAGTTTGAGCAAGTACACTTGATTACCACCATAACCCTGGCTGATAGTGGTGTAGACATACAGGAACTGCGCAGACATAGCTTTACTGCTCTAATCAAGTTCATTCAGATAAATCCATGAGATGGATGATCTCTCATCATCAGTAATCCCCTGTGCTGATAACTGAGAATTGATTATGTGTGTTAATTTTCATCCCACCTTTCTCAACATCTGTCAGGCTTGGTTCTAGGAAGCATGAAGTAGCCTGATCTTCAGGATTAAGACCTCCATTGTTTTGGCATTATATGAAACTGGAAGGTGTAACACACATGAGAGATTGCCTCCTAGTTTAAGCCCCCCATGCTTGAAATGCCTGAAAGTGCTTGAGAGAGATCTGTTCATACAAAAATGCTTCCTACCGCTCTTTTTGATAACCTAAGATGAATGAGCTTGTTGAAGTAGAGGAGGCTGCCTGAAGAAACCACAGACACTCATAAAGATAGCTGAGACTGCTGCCTTCTGAGATGGCAGTCACAGTCTTACTCCAGTGGTATTCTGTTCAGAAAGGCACAATCTATGGTGCCCCCTTCAAGGAAGTGTTATTTAGGAGGAATTAACCTATGCAATAGTTGTGAACCAGCCTACTCCCTATCCATTGGTTGCTTCCCAGAAACCATTTCTTTGGCCTGTGCTGACTGAGACACAGCCAGCTGGCTCCTTTCCAGGCACCAGGCAGTGGAGAACATTAATAAATAGTCAGCCACACCTGAACTGCTTAGAAGTTTGATGGGATCCTGTTCAGTCAGAAGCTTTATTTGCTCCTGCCTGCTTTGTCCCACGCAATGTGGTGTGGCAAAGCAACATGCCAGGATATTTCCTACTTTTCCAGTCTCACCTCACTCCCTCTTCCCACCAATTTCAGCCATTACACTTTTCCTTTTCCTGCTTTCCCCATGGCACAGTTCCAAGCAGGCAGCATCTCACCTTTATGTCCTGCTCCTCATCACTGTGCTGACACACAAATGAGATGCAGGGCCTGGTGGGAACAGGGGGAAAAGTTACTGCTGCTAATGGGGAAAACCAGATATTGATGAATCTTGTGTCATCCTACTGCTACTTAAGAGAAAGAACAGAAAGCTTCTAAGAGCTTGTCCTTCCCTCCAGTGGTCGTGGTCTTCCTTGAGTGTCTTGATATCATTGTTTTAGTGCAAGTAACATAAAAACTGAGGAGAGTTATTTACACAACTCAAAGATGGGTTCCACCAAAGGTGGTAGGATAGACCCGAACTACTGCATTTCTAGGAGCAACAAATCACACAGTTATATTCTGCTTCATTTTCATCAGGAAAAAACAAATCTCTGCTTGGAAAGTGAGGTTAAAAATATATTTTAAAACTATGAGGTTAAACAGAGGCAAAGATACTGCTAAGGACAATCTCCACTTCTCAGAAAGTGAGTATGAGCACGTGATCTCCAAGTGCTGTGCTTCTTGGCAGGACCTTGGACTACTAATGCCAAGATGTGACATCTCTGCCTTTTTCCCAGGTCAAGTGATAACATTTTAAGCTATAGCAGCGTTTAATTTCAATGCTAAGGTCTCAGTAGAGCAATCCAGGAAAAGAATGGAAATTCATTACCATAACAGTGAAAAAAATTATGACAGTCCTTAAATATGAACTTGCTACTTGATGAACATAGAATTATCAGTATTCTCAGAACTATTGCTGTACCACAGCTTGTAGCAAAGACTCAAAATGATATTTCATCTTTCCTAAAGTTGACAGCCTTTATCTTCGTCTTATCTGCCCCTTGATACTTGTCTTTGTGCAATTTTTTACTGAAACCAAAATAATAGTCTCTCTTTAAAGGAGTAGGTTTTACTGATTGTCTCATGCCTTTTCAAAGAGCTATATCTACTTGCTTAGCAATTTCAGATTTTCCCTTTCAGCACAGGTAAAATAGTTATCCTTTTCTGCTGCCAACTCAGTCTGCAAGGACCAGTTTGCCCTCACATACCTGGAGTGCAGGATCCTGTTTCAGCCCAGCTCACTTCTTCTGCTTGGTGAGACACCAGCTAGATTTCTCTAAACAGAAGAGAATCAGTTCTTGCTGATGGTTTTGCTCCTGGTGCTGCCCATCCAGTTTTCAGGTGCTCTTCAACTCTTCTGCAGATTTTGGGATTGGGAAGTGAGGAGGAGAGGCTTCACTCAAGAGTCATCCTGAACGGAAGGGGTGGGGACAGATCATGCAGAGAGGCAGTCTGCAGCAGGCTCCACATCAGTTGCCTTTACTCCACCTTTCATTTATTTATTATCTAAGAAGCTTAGAAGGAAAGATGCACCCAAACACTGTACTACACTATGGTGTGTGTGATGCAGACATTCAAGACACTGCAGAGGCTTTAGACTTCAGTATTTATAACTGAGATATTTAGCATTAGTGGTGTGTTTGCTGATGCATTTTCTTGAAGAATATTCGTATACTTTTTGACTATAATAAACGTCACTAATGAAATTTGAGGCAAATTAAGATGAGTCTGTCCTGGTAAACTTGCAGCTTGAAAATCTTACTAAGTCTCCTTAGCACACACATTAAACACATTACAACCACACCCATAAGTATTCTCAACAAGTTGAAAAGTGTTCCAGGTTATTTGTGATTAGACTTGCATTTGAAAGCAAGAAAGACTTGAGTCTGTGATGGCTCACTGAAATTTTCCATTCCTATTTCCACAATGGCACTGTATGCAAGGAACATTAACTTAGCCCTCAGTCTGACACACACTCATTTTCTCTGTGTGTACACATGGTCTGGGTTTGTGTGCATCTTGGAGGGTGGGGAGTATGCAAACAAGAGAGACAAAAGAGCTCAAGGAAAATTATAATGTAATTTTGAGAAAAAGAGCAGTAGAGAAATTTTTATTCTTGGTATATATGACAAACAAGTTCTCCAGTCACCCAGCAGATGCTCAGGAGTACTCTGTGGGGTAGGAACCATAATCTGAGGACTATGTTAAGTAGATGATAGATGGACTCAGTTCACCAAACTTCAGACATTTACAATGCTGATGTCTTCATGTCAGCCAGGTGTCTACACTCCCACAGTGCCATCAATATTTAGAGTATGATTCACACTCCATGGGTGTCTTTTTTTGAACGAAAATAAGTAGTACCCTAGATGACCCAATGAGTGCAATATGAATGCTGTGCTGAATGCACGAGTCCTACCTCTCTGTGCTGTGGGAACTGCACACAACCCAAAATTTAGGTATGTCATGACCAGAAGGAGGGTGTTTGTCCTGTTACACACATCAGTAGATTTGCACATCAAGATTGTACAAGAAATCATTAAAAAGATTGCTTGTGTTGCAAGGGAGGGTGTGGGGAGACTTGACTGAAAAGATCTGGTTTGTACTTTGGTATTAATAGCATCTTGCTTGACCTTGTGTAACCCCACCCAAGTGGGTCTTGTACTCAGATCCACAAGACTGAAGTATTGTCTTCCTACCTTGCCCAGACAGAACATGGATTCATCCAAGCTGCAGTCCCCTGGAACAGACTGGGCTAGCAGAAGCATATATCTGATCCCATATACATCTCATGACTGTAAACCCTGTCTTGGTGCCCAGCCTTGTGGGTAGTTAAGGTAAAAGGAGAACAAAGGACTCACTCTGCTCTAATGCAAACTTTTACCTGCACACGGTGTTTATGTTTGACCTGCAAACCCTCTATAATTCAGATCTCCCATACTTAATGAGACTGTCTTTATCCCTGTAAGATACAATCACCTCTGTAATGGACTCAGGATTATGGAGATCATTGCATCCATGACCTTCCAACAGTCTCAAGGAACTTATACATTTAATTCTTTATGTCTGCTATGAACATTTCTATTTTTAGGGTTAAAAAAAAAGAAAAAAATAGAAAGGAAGAAGACAGATAAGAATTGGAGTGAGCGCAACAAATATACTTGTTCAAACACACAGTGCTGGCATTTCTCATTCACCTGAGACACACAGCTGGTTTTTGGCTGGTGTGACTTCTTTTGCTCCTTAAGGCTTGCACCAATACTTCTCCAACTACTCCTCCTGCTTTTATAGAAATGGGCATAGAATAAAGCTCAAAAGTTAATCATCACAACTGTTGGCTGCAATTTTAGTTGTATGTCACTAAAAGAAACAAGATCCTATGACATGCAAGCCTGCTGCCCTGAGGCAAAATAGAAAGGTATTCTCTCCCAGATCACTACTGATACTTAAAAACCCAGAAAGGTAGGTACTCTGGTGGCATCTAGTGCAGAAGTGAAACACTCATATGGAGAAACCAATGAGCAGGCTTAAACATGCCCAATCTACAGTCACCCCAAACAGTATTTGGAGTGCTGCTGGTAACAACAGAGTCGCCAGAAAGTTGAAATCATTACAAATATTGTATTTATGTTGTGAAAACACCTGTTCAAAGCATCTCTGTTAAGTGACAGGATTGCAGGCTAGAAGCTACAGACGAGACAGGAGGGACAGCAGAGCTCCCCTCTCCTCTTACACAGTGCCAGCCAGCAGCCTTGTTAAGGGATTACCACTGCCAAGGTACCTTGTGAGGAACCACTGGGGAAGCTCCTGGGAAGGCCCACAGTAGAGGCACAGTGGGATGGAATCAAAATGTAGCTCTGCAGAGCCAGCTGTAATGTCACTGGGGACTCCGTACCAAACATCTGCTTTCTCAGCAACAGGAATTCTTTGGGATTTGTATCTCTTCAAGAGGGGACCATAGTTATTCATTCTAATAAAACTTCACTGAAAAGACAGCCTTACTAGTGAGCTTGTAATTTGGAGCTTGATTTGGTGCTTTTTTTTTTTTTCTGTATGTTAATCTGATTCCTTTCCCTCCATCCAGTAAAATGGTTCATATCTAAAGCTATCTACTGAGTCATCACTTGGAAGGAAAGAAATATATTTTAACAAATCTGATTTAATACTACAGGTTTTTGTCCTGGGTGTCCAGACAGTGTTTGAATAAAAACTCTTGGAAATCAGGCCAGCTCTTCTTATTGCAAATCAAGGCTTGGTAGGAGGTTTACATGTACAGATACTTTCTTTATTATCAGCAAGAACTTGTTGTACACTTAAAATTTTGTTCTTTACCATTTACCTAGCATGGTACTCTGAAGCTGGCAGCTGCCTTTGCCTGGAGCATTACAAAAATCCTCCAAGGAATTCTCTGATTTGGTTAATAGTGAGCCATATTCCCACTCTTTCCCATGCTTTCCGATCTGTGGGAGTGAATGGCTTTATCTGCTTCATCATTGCATTGTTGGCAGGCATGACCATGTTCCCTACACTGATCATAGAACCCGCTGCTCCTCACAGGGCACCAGGACCAGGGTGATTGCTGCTTCTTCACCATAAATCTTCACATCTCTCACCATGCTTCCACGCCCTTATAATTTTATTTGCTGCTAAAATATAATAGGCTAAATCTGTCATCATCTCTCCCTTTGGCCATCTCCCCATTGCATCCACCCCTTCTTCCTCCTGTTTCACTCTGTTCCATTTATGTAAGTTATTTGAAGCCACTGGTTTCAATTGGTTTCTGGTTATCCCTTTTAATGTTCCAAGGTTTTTCTGGGGTAGGCTAGACTCAGCTCTGAGAACATATAAGTACTTACCTAACTAAAATCGATATTATGACTTCCACCACAGGGGCAGAAGGATGATCTTCAAATGATAGTTTTCCATAGGTATGTTGCTAGTTTGTGATGTAGAACTGGTTGACCCAACAGCTTCTGTGTTTCTTACACCTGTCTTGGATTAATTTTTACTGAAAAATAAATTGTGAATGTTTGTTCTCAAATTTTCTATTGTTCCTGAAAGAGCTTGTGTGATTTCAGAGGGTGTGCTTTGTGAACTTTATAGAAATTGGGTGGAGTACTTTAATTATGCCGAGTAATAACAGGAAATCTATTCTAATATTGTGCGTGACATGCAAAGAGGGGTATTAAAATTACTTAGCACTGTCCAGGTGTTTCTAGGTTATTCAGTAGCTCTTCAATTTATTAAGGAACACTTTCAATGGAATTTCAGTACAAGGCAAATTATTCCAAATTATATTAATGAATATTAATAACAGTATACAGGGGAAATACTACACTTTGGAAAAATGGCTGAAAAACAGGTACCTCAGATCAAAGGTGATATCTGTTTTTCACTGAACACCATAAATGCAGATACGAGCAAGTCAATACAATTAAGAGTACGTGGATAATTGCATGGACTAAGGGCTGATTTCCTTCTCTAAGAAACTAAACATCTATTTTGTGCATAATTTAAGAATATTTATTGTCTTTTTCTAACTAAATATTTAGTCTTGTCTAAAACAACAAAAATTTGAAAACCAGTAATTACTAAAAAACACTTCTTTTTTTTTCAGTTACCCACTACAATATTAATATAATAGAATAGAATAACTCAGAATATTGCTTTCAATGATGAATTAATTCATTGTGTTTAGTCATTGAAACTGCATTTTGTATTTATATTTTTTATATATTTATAATTTTTTATATATAAGATTTTTTCCCATAAAATGTGGATTTAAAAAGATGTATAATTTTTTTTTCAGTTTTATTCCAGGGCATAGGTCCTTTTACATTTTTTTTTCTGTTTCTTTATTTGGTATGTGTTGTCTCATACGAAACTCATTTAATGCTTATTTTGTTTCAGAAAATTTCTGGGATTAATCAGCTGGAAGGGAATGATTTTTTTCCTTCTAATTGAGGCCATATTTGCACGGAGATGTAAATACTACTTCAGTCTTCAGTAAAAATAAGCTGTCCTGGACAAAAAGTACACACTTGTGCCCACAGAATTTATTTTAATTTTCAGAAGAGGTAACTTTCATGTGTAGAATTCTGGCTTCTCCTCTCTAAACTCCCAGCATACACTTGAACAGTTTCATTTGGCTGAGATTTTCTAAGACATTCTTTCTAAAGCCAGGAGGACCCCAAAATTTCCACCAGCATATGATCCCCCACAGGTTATACATCTTTCAGATGAACCTTTAGTTGTTTTTTTTCCTAACTACAGAAAGGGAAACAACATTCACTGAATATTGAACAAATCTGACGAAGATTACTATACTAATCAGTGTTTTAAACTCCAAAACTTTAAACAGAGTGCCAGGAAAAAAAACTTTTACCCATGTTTCCTTGACTTT